GACTTCTCAAAGCCACTTCCAACCCCGCTCTTTCATTTAATTCCACTTTAGTATTATATGCTTTTTACTATGTTTTGATTTCTTCAGTCATGTGTACCAGATAAAATTTAAAGAAATTTTTTTCTCCACCTTTAATGACAGAGTTTCTTAGTTTTAAGATCAGCTTGCAAGTAATCTATGAAACATTTTTTAAATAGTAGATTCCTTTTCTCTTTGGTAGTTTCATTTTGTTAAGAGTGTAAAGATTATTAGAAATTAAATTCTCAGGATATTTTTTAAAAAGTAATTGTTTTTTAAGAGCGATTACTATATCTCATAGATTTAAATGTGTATGAGAATATGAGGGGTTCTCGGAATTTGCTAAGTAAAATAAGTTTGTGATTTCCCTTCTCCTCTTGTGTCTTCACTGACAATATGCCTTTCCTGTAGTTTTGTATACCTCCATGTAGTTTTTTAAATGAAAACATTTTCTTTATAAACTTTAGTGAGTTAGCGATTTTCTCATGAAAGGTATTTAATTATTTGCAAATTGGAACTTGGAGTCAGGTTCTGGTACCAAGTTAAACTGTGAGTCACTACCATGATTACATAGGACAGGACGGAGATGCAGGGGAGAGCCAAAACTCCATGGAAGCTAGGCTTATGCTGATCAGTGAGTGGCCATCCTAACCTTAACCTTCCTTCTAAGAGGAAGTCACCTTGCCAGCCTCACCTGAACTTTGACCTGGTTCCCAAGTGACAGGGGTTGATCAAAGAAAGGGTTTGTTCTGTGTTACATGTTAAGCACCTTGACTTCTTCCCTATTGTTGAGGTTACCTTGCAGAAATCCAACCTTTCTTTATGTTGACTTAGGTCACTTACATACTAAAAACCTAATATTATCCATGTATCCATTGGTTCTACTTGTCCACATTTGCAGGCATTGACCATTCATGTGAGGTCAAAAGAAGGAAAATTTTCATTGATGACTCTAAAGGGAGTGAGTCTTCTTTTGTGTACATGTAATCAATTTTGACATTCATCAGCACATTACAGCAGACTGGAAACCCCCCTAACCCTGCCATCCCGTATAGTTTTCCTCTTTTCCTATCTGGGAATTAGGGTTTGTAGACCAATCCTAGCTGCCTATACTGCCAAATCTTGAACAAATATATCTCTTGTCACTAAAAAACATACTAATTTAGTACTGCTACATAATGTGTGTATGTGCATGTGTGCATGCACACATGTGTTCTATTTCCTCTTCTTGGGTTATAAAAGTGATTTATATTAATTTTAACAAGTTATGAAATATGAAGAAGAAAAAATCCTTTTATAACCTTCCTTTCTATAGCAGCCTTGGTTACCATTATGAAGAGAGTGCTTACTGTCGTGTTTTTATGCATATTATATTTTATATAATTAAAATCAGGCTAGGTATAGATTTTCGTTTATTTTAAAATATGCACACTTTCTCAGGATATTAATCCTTTTCATATATTAAAAAAATTGACTCAAGCAGGGCAATCAGGTTTTTGAGAGTGTACTGAATTATGAAGTTACAGTTTTATTTTATGCAGTTATTGAAATTTTAGGATACAGCATATGCAAGCACTGCATTTTTTCACTAGTGTAAAACCTGAAAGAGTTAATTTAAACTAGGAGGTATGAGAGACATTGTGAAATGATAGGAAAACACTCAAGGGTAAAGGAGAACTGGGATGTGGGAAAAGAGAAGGGAAAGAAGGAGAAATTTTGTATGTATGTATATACAGGATAGTTAACATAGTTGTTCTACTGTCTTCTATTTCTTTGCTGAAAGAAATTGTCAATGAGTCCTCGATTGATCAATATTGCATGTCTCTATCTGTTTTCATGAGAAACCACTTTGAAGATATCAATATGTAATAGAACAAGCATTGTTAATTTCCTGCCACTTTGTAACTCTGTATTGTCTGTACTGTTCTTTTGCTATTTTGTGAAAGGTTGTTTGTCTGTTAATGTTTTTCTCCTTTTATTTTTAAAATAAAATAAAAAGAAGAAATTTTAGGATACAAATGTACATTACTATGCTGTAAATAATAGAGTAGTAATTAGTCATATGAACTTCCTGTAAATGAAGCAATTAAATATTTGTCTATAAATACATTTGCAAAGCCAACTCATTAAATCATTACTGAATGGTAGCTAAATTTCTGATATTTTGTCCTAGGTATGGAGCAGTATTTATTAACCTTTTGTGGGTCAGCAGCCCTCTGAGAATTCAGTGAAAGCTATGAAACTTCATTGCAGAGAAATGCATCTACAAAGAAACTAATTTTAATGATAATCAGTTATGATATGCTAGGCACTCTGCCAACAGCTTTACATGTGTTATTTAATCCTTACCAGCACACTGTAAGGAATGCTCTTTTATTATCCTAAATTTTGCAATAAAGACATTGAAGCAGAGGGATGTTATTTTATGCAAACCTAGAAAACTAGTAACTTAAAAACAAGGATTTAAATTCTAATTGATACAAACCCCAGAGTTTACCCCCTTGAAATCATTGTGCATGTAATTAATTCCAAAGGCCTGCTTATTGATTCTCAGGTTAGGAACCCCTTATCTGTAGCAATCCAGAAATTTTCATTGGCCATGACAAATATATGTGGTTAATGAATCCTGCTATTTATTTAGTTTATTACACATATTTGTTAATACTTACTGTTTTGACTACATGTTAGATTTTATTAAATGACCTTTGTCCTTAAGGAGTTTACTGACTCTGAAAAAATAAGAATTATATACATGAAGCAGTGAGAACATATATAAATATGAAGTTGAATATTCAGTAATTAGACATTTTCATAATTAATTATTCTCTTCTCCTTATCATACCTGGTGTAATTCATTTTCTTTTGTAATCTGATTTATAAAAGGGTAAATAAAAGGCCACTATATCCTTTGGGAACCTGGAAGATTCAGTGTGTCATAAAAATGAGGTCTATAAAGTAACTCTGAGAACTAACTATGCATATATCCAGCTTCCTGAGTGATTTCATCAGCTTCATCTATTAGTCCCAGGAAAAATTTCCAATAAATAGACCCAAGAATGTGTAGCCAGCTCCAAATCATTGAAACTATATTACAGCATAATTCTGTGGAGTTGAACAGAAATGGGCCAGCAAAACGCCTTCATAGCTGTTGCACATAAGGTTCCTACTATTCCAGAGGACTGATGCAACATAAAATCAAATGATGTAGGATCAATAGGAATAATCTGTCAATCTTAGAATAAACCATCAAATATGGGAAGCATATTAAGTTGGCTGCCTAAAAAGGCTGTCAAAAAGAGTGACTGTAGCTATAATTCAAGAACTTCAGTCTTCTAAAACTTAGGCTGCATACATGATAGAATTAATTTATAAGTAGCATTTGAATTTTCATCTCAAAGCAAATAGAAACTTTTCTATGACTAATCATGGTAATAGTTTATCTCAGTTCATTTATGAGTCTTTTTATTTGAAATGTTTGCAATACAAATATTTTATAGAGTTGTATAATACATTTGTGTTATATTTAAATTAGTTTGATAAATTGCTTTATAATTCATTTCACATAGTATTCTCATAATTCCACAATCTAATCTAATTTGGTAGCATTATTTTCAAAAGTGGGGTAAGGATCTTATGAAAACCTGTTATGTCTAAGAAGCTCCCAGGTAGAGAATATTTTTATACAGAAATTCTATTCATTGTTGACAAATCATCATTTAAATTTATTTAGTAATGGAAAGTAATTTTCCAGGCCTATGCAAATATCTTAATGGATTTTATTTAACTTCAAAAGAAAAGTGATACCAAGCCTATAGTTCTTTAAATTTACCACTGGGGGGAAATGATTTGAAAGAAAAACATTCCTTTTTATATTCACTTTGAATAAATAGGAGTTGTTTTTGAGATAAATACATTGATATTAAATGCCCTTCATACTTTGGCTTCACAGACAAAATTGAAGACATAGTAACTGTCCAACTTTGGAATTTTGTCTGTGTGCATGTATGTGTATGTACAGGGAACATAAGACCTTTTGATTTCATAATAAGCAGGGCTTAGGGACAATAAAACCTGACATTCTTAACTGTTATTAGTATTTGTCCCTGTAGCCCTGTGCAGTTATCTTCTTGTTAATGACTTGAAGCCAAAGTCATAAACTGAGCTTGTACCTAAGGCGCTACTGCAAATTACAAATAGCATTCCTGTGGTCTCTGACCTAAGAGGGAATTAGGGTAGAGGGAAGAGAAGAACAAACTGAGCGAAGAATGAAAATAAAAGTCAAGGATAGAGAGCACACCAGAAGGACAGATATGTATAAATATTCTCTTAACTTTATAGTGAAATTCATTCAGATGGAGAGCTTCATATCTGCAAATGCTCCTTTGCTCAAAAGCCAAAGACTAGATTGGGGCAGCCTCTGCTGCTACTTCTGCTGTGTGTGTGTGTGTGTGTGTGTGTGTTGGCACTCATGAGATAATACAAATAATCAGTGAGGAATAATTAATGATGTGGCAGGGAATATTTTTTGATAAATGCTTGGGGAATGAGGTGACAAGCGTGAAATTAGAAAATTCCTTCAGCGATCTAAAATATAAATAGCTTTCGGAACTGAAAAGAGTTTCACAGCTGAAGATTTTATTGTGTTGAGAGGAAAAACTTTTTTCTCTCCCCCACTCCCTCCTCTTTTGCAAGTTGTTTGTCCATTCACAAAACAAATACTCTGAAGCCCAGCGCAGCTCATGGGAATAAATTTCAGGTCGAATTAGTACAGTTTCCTTGCTGTCAGGATGCTGGAATTAATGGTGTTTTGATGACACGAATTTTGAAGGGCAAACAAAGAAGCTGGAGGGAGAGGGACATGACTCCTTAGAAGCTTGGTCCTCCTCTCCCCCAGCCTCTCTTGTCTTCCCTGTCATCCGTCTGCCAATCTCCCTGTCCATGGTTAGTTAAAGGCGCTTTTTATCCTCTTTTCTTTCCCACAGAGTTTGCCAGATCCGGCCCGGTGCCTGGGTTCCAGGAGGACACGCTGCAGTTGGCCTTCATCGACTTGAGACAAGTAAGTCTTTGTGTTTTTGTTTTTTGTTTTTCTTTTAAGATGTGTGACTGAAGACCATCAGGTCTTAAGGAAAAGGGGAGGGGAGGGGGATTGGCGTTGGCGATTCACACTGAAGACCTAAGGGTTTTTCCCTGTATTTGAGGCCACCTCTTTTATTTAGCTATCTGGGATCCTTAGCTATGGTGGAGTTAAAGGTTTTGTGGGCAGAAGAGAAGGCAGGGGGTGGGAGGAGGTATCCAGGGAGTAGAGGGACTCAAGTGACCCTCAAGTGATGTGACCCATTGTATTGTAGTTGGCTTCTGCAGACACAGCAAAAAGATAACTCGTCAAGCCAATACTAAGCAGGTGCACTGATGCAGAGATTTCTTGCTTGGAGAACTTTTGTTTGCAGATAATGTGGCCAGAAGCACTGCAGAAAAATGAAATATTTTACTTTCTGGATTGTTGGTTTGGTTCATTGACTTTTTTCTGCAGCCTTAAGTCTTCCCATTGCCTCCTTTGCAGAATGTGGTCAGCCCTGAGTGACTAAGTGGTCATTTGGAAGATGATTAGCAAAGACCCTAACCAGTCATGCTAACCTGAAAGGCAACATTATTGAAGTAATGTGATGAAAATTGGTACTTAGGCACAACTCAGCTTGGCAAGCCCAATACATAGAGTCATTCTATAGTGCTGCTTCTTATAGATTGAAATGGATGAGTTGGTAGGCCTCGATGGTTTGGGTATAGTGGAGCAGAAAGGGTGGGGGCCCAAAGAAGGGAGGGAGTTAACTGGGCTCTGTCATCTCTTCACTCTGAAGATGGATGGGGTTGGATAGAAAATGTGAATGAAGTAAGAATCAATGACCGATGCTTCTCTCCTATTAAACAATCTTTTTTGTCTATTTTAAAAGGGGGGCTGGCTTTGTTTCTCCTGCCATAATGATGCAGTGCCTCTTGTTTTCAGAGCTGACATAGTTTGCATTCTGAAAACCTGTAGATGCCCAGGGTATTTCTTAAAGCTGTAGGACCCCTTGTATTGGTAGTCTCCTTACCACTGTGACTCGATTCATGCTGGAATAGCTTTTAACCCATAATGGATGAATCCTGAATCCTGTGGATGGCTGGTGTAATCTGTCATCTGATGACAATTCTGGAAAGCCCTGTGAAGCAGAAAACAAAATTGTGTCTATAGACCCACCAAATTTGAGGATTCAGGCCGCGTCCCAGAAACGTGTGTCAACTTAATATTGGGGGGCCAGAGTGGGAGTTCTCTTACACATAAAAGATTTCCCAGAGTGTTCATAAATGGAGCTATCTCTTCCCATATTTAAGACCTGTGGATTCTACAACTCAACTGATACTCAGGTTTTAACCCTTTGACTGATGTAAGATTGAAAGGTTGAGATTTTGATTTAGGGTTTTGCGGGGTGGTATCTGTTGTATTCTGCCACGCCTCCCCTAGTTTCTTCTTAGAAACTTCTGGGCCAGTTGACTTCTTGGAAAGCAGAATTTGAATTTCATTGAAGAAACATTCACAATAAGAGAGTTTTCCCTTTCTTACTATTCATGAGAAGAAAGGGCTGTGGTTATTCTTTCTAGTTTGTGGTTTGGCTCCTTATGGAAAATGTTAACTAAGGGAGTAAGTTAGAAAGCACAGTCAAAATAAGGTGAATCTGAGCTGAGGATAAATGCTCCAGTGTTTGTTAGCTCTTGGTGAGCAGCAGTGTCGTTTATGCTTAAATTCCTGTTTTTCTGTTACGTTTCTGACTCCAGAGTTTCTTTTGTGATGTTTTTAGTGATAGAAATGAACAGTCCAAATTTTTACTGACAGTGAAAGACTGTGCTTCCTCCCATTGAATCTACCCCTAAAATCTACTTATGTCTGTTATTATTAATATAGTGTCAAGGGAAAATTTTCCAATGTAGGTGATTTGGAAATTTCCTTAGCTTTGGGCTGTATTAACAAGCCTCAGGTAGGTTGAATCACTGTGAGAAAAATGATCCTTTCACGTCCTATCTTTTTGCAGATAATCTTAGTCAATCTTAGAAGTTATTTAAAGTGTGCATTCCTTTAAAAGCAGCTTCTGAACTATAGATGTTGAAACTACAAATAGCATAGGAGTGTGTTTCTAGAGGTGATACCTTGACATCACATGGGACATGATTAAGTAAGTGCCCTTTTGCATGTATTCTTCAAAATCCTGAAATAGACTTTTTGAATTTTGAGGTGGAGACTAATCTTAAAAATTATAAAGTATGTTCTTTGCTTGATGCTTAATCTCTGCACAACCCCAGGACTATGTTTCAATATCATACTTGAGAAAGACTTATTGCCCCAAACCAGCAAGTTCCTCTTAGGACAGTATGATTGCTAGAAAAATATTTTTAAAAATCTGTCTCACTTAACATTGTCTTTTTCAGTCTATATTTTTATTATTGCATCCCTAGTTTGGGGGGATGGTAGACTTTCTACTCCTGATATATAGCACTTCTTATTTGCTAGTAATTGATTCCTTCTTTTTTTTCAGACAGTGTGTCTTTATTTCACATGAGTGCATTAAGTACATCTATTACAACACATGATATATTGAATTATGAAGATTCAAATCACACACAGCCACATCCAGTTGTTATCAAGTGTGCACATTGTTCATGAGTTGTGTCTGTACTCCAGTTGGTCATTCAGCAGTAAGTCTCAAGATCATCTGTTTACATAGGTGTTTTTTTTGTTTGTTTGTTTGTTTGTTGTTGTTTTTTTTTTGGTTTTTCTCCGGTACCGGGAACC